ATGGATGGATAGATGGGCGGATGGATGGATGGATGGGTGGATGGATGGGTGGATGGATGGATGGATCTCCTATTGGTTCTGCTTCTCTATCAGGTATACATTTGTCCCCATCTCTACCTTCTACAGGTGTCCTCTTCTTTCAACACCCATTTTCTCCATGAAGCTGCCCCAGGACCTAGAGCTAAGAGTGACCCCCACACATACACGCACAGAGAAAAAGTTGTGCAGCCCACGCAGGCTATTTGAGATCCCTAGAGCACTGGGCTAATTTTGCCTCATCTCTTAGATATTTCTGCCCATGTCATTTTTCCTCTATTAACTACTAGTCCCTCCAAGGGCAGGGACTGTGTGTTATACATTTTTAGGTCTCCCAGAGAATTTTTGACTGGCCTAGGACTCTGTGCAATGAACTAAATTGAATGGGACTAAAAACTCAAGGGAAAAAGAGGGTTGGTAGGAAGATAAGGACTTCAAAGTAAACTACTTTAAAAAACATTACCACCTGCCTGCCTGGTGAATGCATGCCACGTGTCAGCCTCGGGATTCCCCTTCTCTCCAGCCACAGCCGGGGACATGGGCTTTCTAGCAAGGAAACAGGGAACGAAAAGAATGTAAGAGCGCATACCTCCCTCCCCCAACTATTTACTAGTTCATGCAATTTGATGTGTAATAATGCCTATCGATGAGAAGTGGGATAAATCACCTGCAATATGATTTTTTTTTTTTTTGCTACCAAGGCTCTTTTACAAGGAGCCCTGAATGATATGATTTAATGAGTAGAACTATTATTCCAACTACTGTCTGCAAGTAGTAATATGGATCAGAGACCATTTTCAATATGTAAAAATGTCTAACAGTAATGTTTGGATAAAGAAAAAAAAGCATTCTACTGTTAACAGACTAAATGTTTTTCTTTTGGCAGGGACTGTTTTCATTCAGGGTGGTAATACTCCAAGCTCATTATAAACCCTATATGTTCTTCAATTACTTTAATAAAAGGAGAAATTACTTGATAACTTTTTAATAAACATATGTAGTTCGTTAGGGAAATTGTTTTAACACCTAGTGTCCCTTCAATTGAAATAATTGAGGAGACTCTAAAAGGATAAAAAGGTTCAACCACTATACTAGATATTAATACATACTAGAATAGATATTAAAAACTGAGTCTTCAAAATATAAAAATTCACTCCCTTATTGTGTATAGTATAAATCTAAAATCAAATAATGCAATGAATTAAAGGAAACAATTTCAACAAAGAGGAAATATAACAAAAGAAATAGTTTCTGATAGTATTACAGGTTTATACTATCAATTTCAATTTTAATTCAAAACAATTTGAATTAAAAAAAAAAGTGAGTCATTTTCACCTGACTTGAAAAATTGCAGAGAATCAAGCTTTTGTTTTGTAATTTTCCATTTGTCTTATTGGAAATTTTTTATTTTTATTTTTTTGTTCTGTTAGCTGTGTGCTCTATTGATTAATTCAGTCCAATGCCAAGGAAGAGAGGAATCAAGATGCTGGCAGATGTTGCTGCTTCTCACAGATAGAATATATAAGAGAAGAGCCAACTGGTTTCTATGTTGTGTTTCAATTAGAGCTTAGAATGAATAAACTCATCCAAGAGAATTCAGGATTCCACTGGCCCTGAGGAAACTCATAAGATGAATCATTTTTCTGTTTTATTCCCAAATAAACATAGATTTTAAAGTTCAGACAGGAGTCAAGTAAGCACAGTTTCTCACTAACCAAGCTTCTGTGTCATCATCTCCCTTCCAGGTGGATGCCTCTAAGTAATGCAGGACAGATACTGCGACCCCAGCATAGGGTCGGGGAGAGACCCAGGGAAGAACACAGGCAGGCAGCTGGGGACATGAAGGTGGAGAGTGCGTCAAATGGTGTGTGGTGGATTAGTGGGGCTCCGGTCATATTTAGAATTTACTGGGACTCAGTAAGGGATAATTATGCAGTTTTAAAAATTAGAATGATGAAGATCATGTAGCAACATGGAAAATGCTTATGATATGTCAGGTAGAAACAATCAGGATTGAAACTTTAGAAACACTATGATTTTAACTATGTGAAAAGTGTGCCCATAGCCCTAACCAGTTTGGCTCAGTGGATAGAGGGTCAGCCTGCAGACTGAAGGGTCACAGGTTCGATTCCAGTCAAGGGCACATGCCTGGGTTGCAGGCTCGGTCCCCAGTGGGGGGCATGCAGGAGGCAGCCGTTCCATGGTTCTTTCTCATTATTGATGTTTCTATCACTCTCTCCCTCTCCCTTCCTCTCTGACATCAATAAAAATATGTTTTTTAAAAGTGTGCCTATAAATAAAAGGTTGAAAGGAAATGCAATCTACACTAATAAAAGAGAAACATGCAAATTAACCATCACTCCGCCACTCCACTACACCCACCAGCCAATCAGAGCAACTATGCAAATTAACCCAACAAATATGGCAGTTAATTTGCATACGTAGGCGTGGAGCAAATACTGAAGACGACTGAATTTGGCGGTGGCCACGGAGCTGGAGTGAGCAGGGGGCTTGGATTGCTCCCAGTGACGGAGGAAGCCAAGCTTCCCGCCGGCCCTGGACTCTGCTCAAGGAGTGGCTGGGGGCCTGGGCTCTGCTCAAGGAGGTGCTGGGCCAGCCCTGGCCTCCACT